TGGCTACAATAGTAGCAGCGCTCATCATTAGGTAATACATAACTCACATTTCAAAACCTTCAATGCTAAAAATCTCTCAAACTCAAGACCATAAACACTGCATAATCTTCAGAAATTACAGGCTTCCCCCAGATACTTCTTCTGGTTGTTTCTATAACTCTCAAAGGTTATGATACAGAGCACAGGTTTTAAACTCAGTTCTCAAAAACTGAACCAGGTCAGCAAAATAAATAAACTATGATACAACAGATAATATTAATTTATGGTTTTCTTAGACAGCATGCCACCACAGGGATCCTTTCTATTTGAGTTCGACATCACTAATGTAGAAGACACAGAAAACAAAAGCTATTCCTCATTTCCTACTATAGCCAGGGATTAAAGGATTGGCCAAGCCTTCATTATCCTAGCCTATCCTAAATCATACAAGGGTACACATACTCCAAAAGCTTCCAAAACAGTAGGGGAGTAAGTCACTTTTATTGTGGTCATATCACTTCACCTTGGAAGAAAGGCTCTGGAGGGTATACTATGATGTTCCCCATTATGGAGGACATATGTAGAACACTAAGTTGAAAATGTCAAAGTGTTCAAAACAGAATTACGGTTCCATAGGTAGCTAAGGAAAACTAACTATTGCTAAGTTAGAAACCTTGGATTCTTATATTACTACTTTGATTCCAGTTTCCCCAAAGTCCTTTTAAGGGAGAAGACCTACAGAACATCCTAGAAATAATTAGTATTGACACATTTTAAATTCCACCCCATGTCAATTATGAAATTATTTTATTTTCTTCAAAATTTAACATTAGTTTATTAACTTTTTAACTAAGAGAATACTAGATGATGATCCTAAAACATGATGCTAAAAAAGAAAATAGTTAGTATCTTTATCTGAGTGAAAATTTCTACCTAAGCTCAATAAATTATTTTCAGTTTATAATATTACTATTCCCTGGCAGTTTCCACTATAAACACATGCATTCTATTTAATGACAAAAGCAAAACTTTAGCCAGTTTTCACATTTTCACTGCTTTCACTACCAGTGTTTCTTTGAAAATGTTTTATACAACTGCCTGTTACTATTTACCTGAAATCAAATGAGGTCTAGCAGGCTGTAGGTGTCAACCCATTATTCTATCCCCTCACTAATCAACTGCAGAACCTTGGAGAGAGGCCAGAAGACTTCAGTTAGCTGTTCTGGGAGATAAGAAGCAGCCCTCCTTAGAGTCATCCAAAAAGCTAGATTAATTATAAGGAAACCTCAAATAGAACCACCAAGGTGTCTCCACTGCCAATACAGAGCAAGAGAAAGTGAAAGATACATGTGGTTAAGACCACAAGGACATGAGAATCAGTTCCATTTCTTTAAATCTCCAGCCTATTCTAAAAATCTCTTGCTGACTTTTTTGATTAAGTGGGCTAAACCAGCGCTTCTTAAACTGTGGGTTGTGATCCTATGAAAAATTTGGCAACAATAAAAGATTTTTGAATGCAACTACCAAAAATTAATTAAAAACCAAACACATAATGAATCTGAGGTGTTTCTGGCAGCGCTTGCCAGTGTTGCATCACGCAACTTCACTGCAGCCTCAGTTCTGAACACAAAGCATGCGCACTTTGCACTGTGCCTGACCCCATGCCATGAAATGCCAACCAACACTGCCATAATGCGTGGAAAAAGTTTAAGAAGCCCTAGTTTAGACTCTAAACCACCACTGAAAGCCGAAAGTTCTGTTCTAGTGCCAATAAAACACAGGTTATTCTTCTAGCTTTAAAAGGCTCTAAATAACTGTATTTTAATTAAAAAAAATTTTTTTTAAATGAAATAGAAAAACTAAAACTGACATTTAAGAAACACTGAAAAAAAAAATAAAAACTAGAATACAATATTTTTTAAAAAGCCAAGTGATTTCATCATTATGGCTATTCCCTTCACCTAGACAGATTATAACTCCTGCACACTATTTCAATAATTCCCATTGTCACATGGTAGCCAATGTTCTCCTAAAAATTTGCCCTCCCTTCTAAATTTCCTCTACTTTTTGAGAGCACTACCAACCTTCTCGTCACCTAGGTTGGTAATGTAAGTCATCCTCTACTCTGCCTCAATTCTACCTCTATAATGTCTTTTATCCATGCCCTCCTTCACTCATAAGAGTTTCCATGTTAATTCAGGGTCTCATCACTGTACTATTCCAAAAGCCTCCTGACTGGTCTTCCTGCCTCCAGTTTCTTCCCTCTCTAATTCATTCTCCACGGAGATCCAAAAGAGATAGCAAAAAGCACAGTCCTGCTATGCCATTCCCCTACTTTAAAAACTTCAGTGGCTCCCCAATGCCTCTGGGATAAAAGATAAATGCCTTAGTTTGGCATTGAAACCCTTCACAATCTGGCTCTAGTCCACCTTCCCAGGCTTACTGCACATTACTCCCTTTCACATGCTCTCTGTCCCAGCCAAACTGGTCTTCTCATTGCTTCCTATATATGACACTCCACTTCCCTTCTCTAGATCTCTCTCTTCTTAAAATTTTTACTAATTTATTTTGATTTATCAACAACCACCTCTATAAGCTTCTGAGTTTTAAATTTTTCTCCACCTCCCTCCTCAAGACAGCACGCAATCTGACATAGGCTATACATATACATTTCTATTTAACATATTTTCACATTAGTGAGGTTGTAAGGAAGAACTAGAACCCAACAGGAGAAACCACAAAAAAGAAGAAACAAAACAAAACCAAAAAAAGAAGAGACCAAATAGTATGCTTCGATTTGCATTCATGCTCCATATTTCTTTCTCTGGATGTGGACAGCATTTTCCATCATGTGACCTCTGGAGGTGGCTTAGATCCCTTCATTGCTGAGAAGGGCTAAGTCTGTCAATGTTAGTCGCACAACGTGGCTGTTTCTGTGTACAACATTCTCCTGGTTCTGCTCACTTCACTCAGCATCAGACCATACAAGTCTTTCCAGGTTTTTCTGAAGTCTACCTGCTCATCATTTCTTATAGCACAATAGTATTCCATTACATTCATATACCACAATTGTTCAGCCATTCTCCACTTGACGGGCATCCCCTCAATTTCCAATTCTTTGCCACCACAAAAAGAACTGCTATAAATATTTTTGTACATGTAGTTTGGATCTCTTTTCACAGGCTGTTCTCCATGACTGGAATGTTCTTTCTCTCCTCACTTTCCACTTCAGTCCCTCTGACTCTCAAGACTTAGTGAGCTCAAGTGACATGCCTTATCTGAGCACTATCCTGATTGGTGTTAGTGTCCTTCCTGTCTCGATGCCAAAATTGCTTTAACATTCTATATTGGTCTGTGTACATTTTCCCCAGGAGAATGTCACCTCCCTGATGGCAGGGACTCTCTGATTTTGTCTTTATATCACCCCAGGGTCCAGCACAGAATAGGTACTTAATAAATGCTCACCTAGTGAATGAATGCACACTAAGCTAATCTGGCCCTTTGCCAGAGTTCACTACAAAACCATCAGGGCTTGTACTTTGATGGCCCAGCTTTCAAGAACTCAACCTCTACACCACAATGAGAAATGAATAGAATTCCAAAAACCAGGAGGGAAAAAAAGCAAAAAAAAAAAAAAAAAAAAAAAAAGGCAAATAAATGAAAAGTAAAAGAAACTAGGGGAAATATGAAAACATTTAAGCCGTTGTAATACATGCAGGACTACAAAAATTCAGATCTGGCAGAGTTCACCACCAAATTGTACTGAGAACAATTTTCAGGCACACCCGATAACAAACTTGCTTTGGCAGTGGCCCATGACCAAGACACAAATAGACCTTGATCAGAGTTCCTTTTGCATCTGGCAGTACACTGCTAACCAAAGAATTGAAAGTCAAATTGCACAATTATTTTGACAAAAGAATGCCTAGCAAACAACTAAAGTAGAAAGTATATACCTTAGATGAAAGAATGGATTATGATCAATACACATCTCTTATAGGGAATATTCAACATGTAATATTATTCAGATTAGAGATAGGGGAAAATAAGTTTATCTTCAGTCTGTTGCAAACAACTCAACTTCTTCTTTTCCCAAGGGAAAGCTGTTAATATAACACACCACAAGTACTCAAAATCTTACGGTCAATAATAAAATAGAGTTGAATGGCTGACTTTTAATGAATACACATTGTACTTTCCTCATAAGCTTAACTTCCTTCATACAGAATAGTTCTTTGTCATATAGATTATCAACCTATCCAAATAGAGATGTCCGCATCCTTTTTTCTTCTATTGTTTGATGATATAAAATAGAAAGAAAGAAAACTATAGCATGGTGGCTTGTACACCTCAGGGACTAAATAAACACTTTGTTGAGTTAATATGGAAATTCAGAAGGTAAAAGGGACACCTACTAACCCTTCCTATGCTGCTAGTCACACCATTTAACAAAAAGAACATCAAATGGGAGTCAAAATAGCTAGACACTTTTCTGATTCTGCCATTTTATGACTTTGATTAAGTCTAATATTCACTTGGCCAAATTGTCTTCATCTGAAAAACTTGGTTAACACTACCTGCCTTACCTACTTCTCATGGCTATCATCAACAGATTAAAATATTTTGAAAAGATTATGTATTGTACAATGCAATATATATTATCGACATCCCAGTTCCATCAGCAGACAAAAGCAACCTAAACATAGTTCTGACTTGGTGTCCTTCTCTCATTTATTACTGTTGTTCTACCAGGATTGGGGGGGGGGGGGGGGGAGGGGCAGGGGGGAGCCGTGATAGAGGTAAAGGATCAGGCAAAGGTATATTCAAGGGCACATAGTTAAACTTCTCACTCTACTGTAAACTAGAAAGGATACAGTACACTTTGCCTTCCCAAACTAAAGAATTACTAGTATATCTTATTTTAATCACAAGTAGCTCTTTCATTAAGTGTTTCCCACCACTTTGGCAAAAATTCATGAAAAAAAAAAAATGCTGGAAGCAAAATTTGCTGTGAATCCTACCTCCTTTCTCACTGTCATAGTGAGAGGCATCAAACTGAGCATCATCATTGGGGAGCTGCACACTGGCTATCACAAGATGGTTTTGTTCATCTGATGTGTGTGTGCCCAGGACAAGTCGATGAATGCTGAAATCTTTCCCTTCAGGTCTGCAACAGCAAAGTAGATTACTTTAATTAATCTCTAAGTACTGGGTCTATGAAATGGATGCTTTAAACTGAGGCAAAAGACAGTAACATAACCAGTGGTAGGGCAGAAGAATTATAAGTGCTCCTGGGCTATCCATTCACTATTCTTTTCAATCTTCAATAGTAGTGGGCACATGGCAGACACTTTAAACAGTAGTCTGAGTAACCAGACTTTTTTATTAAAGTAATTTGAGAACTGAAGGAGCCAATGTACAAGAATTCATGCATTTAACAGAGGATATTTTCTCAGAATGGGAAGGAATCATAGACTATCAGTGAGTTTAAGAGATACCTGAAAAAGCATCCTTTCTAAAACATGCCTTATAGAGAAAACCTTTGATTAAAGATCTCCAGTAAGATGTGAACTCACTACCTCTCTAGACACTTTCATTTCATTTTTGTTCTTCATTTCCAACTCTTTGTGACCGTTTGGGGTTTCTCTGGCAGATACTGGAATGATGTGCATTTCCTTCTCCAGCCCATTTTACGATGAGGAAACTGAGGCAAACAGGATTAAGTGACTTGTCCAGGGTCTCACAGGTAGTAAGTATGTGAGGCCAGACTGAAACATCAGTCTTCCTGACTCCAGGATGAGTACCCCATCCACTTCACCACCTAACTGCCCCATTTCACTTTTAGGTTGCTATTACAGTTTTGTCTTATATTAAGCCCATGTATTCCTTTTTACAACTTTGACACAATACTCCTAGTTTATCCTTATGAGGCCAAAGACCAAATCTAATCCCTCTTCCCCATGACAGTCCTTCAAATGCATATAGCATTGTTACCTCCCCTCTTTTTAAAAAAAAAAATTTTTGTTATTACTATGAACTTGAAAGATATCTCTTCTCTTGAGAAAACATGCCAATCATTCTATTGCACAGACCCAACTGAGGTCTTTTAACATACTGTTCACCTTTCTTTCAGTTATCAATATTTTCCCTAAAAGGGACCTAGGACTGAACAATACTCCAGATGTGGGCTAACAATGCAGGGTTATAATAGGACTATTGCTTCTTATTCCTGGCCTCTCTTAAAGCAGACTAATATTATATTCATTTTCTGGATTTCCCATCTCACCACTGACTTGGTCTACAATCTGCTAAGACTTCTAGATTGTTTTTTTTTTTTAAGATTAAGTGCTATTTGGCTATGACTCTCCAATCTTGTATTGGTGAAGCTGATTTCTCTGAACCTAACACTTCATGAATATTTATCCTATTTGCTCCCTACTACCACTTTCAGTTTCCATTCAGTTCCATCACTCAATATTCTCTCTTCTTTGAGGCTTATGCTATTCATATTTACTCAATCAAAAGTCTGGTAGTTGTCTACAGATCCCCAGGTCACTATCCTTCCTTCCTCAATCAGTTCAAAACCTGCTTTACAATTTTCTCTCCTCTCCAACTCCTGCCCTCATACTAGGGGACTTCAGCATATACATTCTCCCTCAAATACCCAAACCACTCAGTACCTTGATCTACTCACCTCCCATGTACTCCTCCACCCCACTTCAGCCTCACACAAAGATGGTCATATTCTTGATCTTCCCAGCACCTCCATGTTCAAGAATTCTGAAATCCCCTTATCCAACCATAATCTATTAGCTTTTTACCTCTCCTGCCTTCCTTTATACAACACTACTCTTCATCTGCTCAGTAACTTTGACCCCTTGGTTCTCTCTCAATCCATCTACCCCTTCATTACCCACTCTCCACTCTTCTCCCATCTTGACTTTCTGGCAAACCAATTCAACGCCATACTGTCCTCCTCTCTTGAATCCCTAACCCTTTTATCATATTGCTGATTATGCCCACCTAAGCTTGAGTCTTTGATCACTCCAACAATTTGATGCTTTCATTCACATGCTGCTATATGAAGACGGGGAAAAAAATTACACAACTGTTCTGACTAGGTCCACTACAAATTTGTTATACCTTAACTGAGCCTCACTGGCTGCTAAGCAATCTGACTATACCCCCCTTATTAACTCACTATCCCACTCTCCTCAAAAGTTCTTCTAAACCTTGTCATCCCTCTCTAAACTCCCTATGGCTCCTCTTCCCTTCACTCTTAGGTGAGAACCTTGCCTCATGTTTTACAGAAAAAATTGAGGTCATTCACCTTTAGTAACTCCCTCCTCTTTTCTCTTCCTTATCTCCTCTTCTTTTCTCTTATCTCCCATTCCTCTTTTACTCATCTCACATGATGAAGCAGCATTATTCCTTACCAAGGCTAACCCCTCTCTTGTTCAAGCAATCCCATTCCATTCCATCACCTCCAACAGCCTGTCCTCCTCTGTGCTGGCCACTTTTTTTTTTAAACTTATTTTTGATCTTTCCTTCCCTACTGGCTCATTTTCTATTGCCTACAATCATGCCCAATGTCTCCCCTATTCTGCAAAAAAAAAAACTTCATTTGATCCTGCCATCCTTGCTAACCATGGTCCTACATCTCTTCTGCCCTTCGTAGATAAACTTGTCAAACAGGCCTTCTATAATAGGTGCTTCCACTTTCTCTCCTTTTGCTCTCTTGTTACCATCTGGCTTCTGACTTTATTATTCCACCAAAACTGCTTTCTCCAAAGTTACTAATGATCTCTTAGTTGCTAAAATCCAAATGATCTTTTCTCAATCCCCATTCTCTCTGTAGCCTTTGACATTGCTGGCCAGTCTCTCCTTTTTCAGGATACCAGTATCTCCTAGATCTCCTCCTACCTATTTCACCACTTCTGTCTCCTTTGTGGATGCTCTAATTATACTTATCCCTCAGAGTTCTATCCTGGGCCCTCTTCTCTTCTCCTTCTATATTACTTTACTTGGAGATCTCATCAATTCCCATGGATTTAATTACCATCTCTATACAGATGATTCTTAAATCAACCTTTCCTGCCCCAATCTCTCTGATCTCCAATCTTGAATAAACTGCCTTTCGACATCTCAATTTGGGTAGACATCAAAACTCAATAATATCCAAAACAGAACTTCTTAAACTCAACGTCCAAAACTGAACTCATTATCTTTCCTCCTAACACCTCCCCCGAGCCTCATCTACCTTCCCTATTACTGTAGAGGCATCCTTACAGTCCCTCAGCGTCACAACCTAGGAGGCATACGGGATTAAACACTATCACTCATCCCCCATATCCAACCTATTGTCAAGGCCTCCATTTCATCTATTCAACATCACTTGAATAAGCCCTCCCTTCTCTCTTCTGACACTGCCACCACTCTAGTGCAGGTCCACATCACCTATCCCAATAGCCAACTGGTGGGTCTACCTGCCTCAAGTCTCTCTCCACTCCAATCCATCCTCCATTCAGCCACAAAAGTGATTTTCCTAAAGCACAGGTCTGATGTCAGTACCCCCCACCCAGTGGCCTCCTATTGCCTGCAGCAGCAAATATAAAATCAGCTGTTTGGCATTCAAACTTCTTCATAATCAAGCCCTCTCTTACCTTTCTAATCTTCTCACACCTTACTCCCCAACATATATTCTCCAAGCCAGTGACACTGGCCTCCTGGCTGATCCCTGAACTAGACACTCCATCTCTCAGCTCTAGTCATTTTTCTGGTCCATGTCTGGAATGTTCTCCCTTCTCCACTCTGACTACTGACCTCCCTGGCTTTAAGTCCCAACTAAAATCTTGTTCTATAGCCCCTTTTAATTTCCATGCTTTCCCTCTATTAATTATTTCTGATTTATCCTGAATTATATTCTGATTTAGCTCACTTTGTATATATTTGTTTGCATGCTGTCTCACCCATGAGATTGTAAGCTCCTTGAGGGCTGTCTTTTGCCTCTTTTTTGTATCCCTAGCACTTAGCACAGTGTCTGGCACACAGCAGGCACTTACCTTAGATTTAGCTCAATGTTTTATACTTCCAAGACCTTTTTGAATTCTGATTCCATCTAGTGTATTACTTACCCCTTCCAGATTGTGGCTTCCACAAATTACACAAACATGTCATATATTTTTAGACAAGTCATTAATAGATATGTTAAACATACAGTTAAACAACACACCCAAAGAGATCCCTAGGGAGATCCACTAGAGATCATCTCCCAAGATGATACTGAATCATTAGTGTTTACTCTTTAGGTCCAGACATTCAACCACTTTTGAATTCATCAAAATGAGCAAGACTAGAAATTAAAGAGCTACCCACATCTGCAAAATGGAGGTAGAGGAAAAAAACAAACAAAACAGGAGATCCCTATTTTGGTGGTATTCAACGTAAACAACTACAAACTATTGAACAGATGGACAGATTACTGACTATGGCACGAGAAGCACTTGTTTCAAACCCTGCCTCAGACATTTATTAACTGTAAGATTGGGACAAGTCACTTTATCACCCTGGGTCTCTATTTCCTCAGCTATAAAGAGTCTGGACTCAGTCAAAATAGACTTCAGTGGGCCCATAATTCTGGATAAGAAAAAAATTACACCTTTGTTTTCTTTCTTTCTTTTTTTTTTTTACACCTTCGTTTTCACTAATATCTAATTGAAATTTAGCAGTTTCTTTAACTGTAAATTTAAAATAATCTATACTATTCTAAGGGGTCCAGAGGCTTCATTAGGCTGCCTAAGGGGTATAAGACACAAAAAAGATTAAGAACCGCTGGACTAGATGGTCACTGGGGCCCCACCTAGCTCCAGGGACCCTGTAACTACACACCTGCTACATGTATCTTCAGCAAAGACAAAAGTGAAATAGTTCCTATTGTCAAGAAATTTACTTTCTACTGGGAAAATATAATATGCACACATATTATATAGGATGAGAATGAAAAACTTTCCTTAACCGAAAATTTTTTCTTAAAAAACCATACAAATGTATTTAAGCTCAAAATGAATAGAAAAAACATACAAACATGAACCATTTGTAGTTGGGCAAACCAGAATAAGGCCAAGGCCTGCAATACTAATAATAATTAATAATAATAATAATAGCTGAAATTATATAACACTTTTGAGTTTGCAAATTGCTTCACCACTATTTTATTGAAATCTCACAATAACAAAGTAAACACTTTATTCCCTCTTTCACAGATCAGGAAATTGAGGCTTAAAGAAGTTAAATGACTTGCTGACACGTACAAAACTAGGGTAAGAAGAATTTGAAGCCAAGTCTCTGATTCCAGGTTCAGTACTCTTCCCACCACTCTCTGCTAACGCTGTAAGAAATTATATCAGCTCTAAAAGAAACAAGCTAAGTAAAATTTTTGTGATCTACAGCTTTAAGTAGTATACCTCCTCAGGATACTGATGACATACAAAGGCAATGATCTTTACTGCTACTACAGTAAAGACTAGAAATATTTTCTGAAGGCTGATAATTTTTTTAAACCTATTTTAACATTCTAAACACATGAGTATATTTATGCTATTTTTATATTTATGAGTATATTTATGCTATATTTATATCTAAACACATGAGTAGCTAAATGCAAGCACTATTTCGGCACATGGAGGCTTCCTGGTCAGTGCTTTACAGAGTATTGAGACTTAAAAGTTGAAAAGGACCTTGGAGACAGTCTCTAAATAGGGTCTTTTCCCTCCAAATCCATCATTCTTAGAATTAAACTCTACTTCAGTTTGCTACAACCTTCACATGACTACTCAGCTCACCCATTTATTTCTTACCCAAGTATTTCTTCTAGATTAGCAAACTGTTCACAGTAGTGCTAACTTGTGTGAAATTACCCAAACTATTTTGCCTCTATCTTCCTACACACAGAAATAACAAAGCATCATGACTAGCCACACATACACAAATAGCTATCGACCAATTTAGACACACCTAGGTGGTATGGTATGGAGTGCTGGACAAAAGAGTCAGAATCTAGCCTCAGGCACTTATACTTAATCTCACTTAGCCCTAGTTTCCTCATCTATGAAATGGGGATAAGAGAATTTACCACTGGGTTGCTATCAAGAGCAAGAGACTGACAAACGTAAAGCACTTTTGGGGCAGCTAGGTGGCAAAGTGGATAGAGCACCGGCCCTGAAGTCAGGAGGACCTGAGTTCAAATTCGGCCTCAGACCAAACACTTGACACCTACTAGCTGTGTGACCCTGGGCAAGTCACTTAACCCCGATTACCTCACCAAAAAAAAAAAAAATGTAAAGCACTTTGGAAGTCTAAAGTGCTATTATTGTTTTTGCTATACCACCCCCCTAAGTTACTGGAGAGTAGAGAGGGAAGACAATGGACACAGTCTCCATCCATTCAATGGTAGGGTCCTTACTGTGGAAAAAATAAATTAGGTTCCAATCACAGACTATATCCTCAAATCTAGCACAGCTAGGTGGTACAGTGGATGGACAAGTGGACCTGGAATCACGAAGACATGGTTCAAATCCAGCATGGGACATTTACTAGTTGTGTAACCCCAGGCAAGCCACTTAATTTCTGCCTCAGCTTCTTCATCTGTAAAACAGGGATAATAATAGCACCTACTTCCTAGGATTGCTGTGGTATTTTAATGAGATATTTGTAAAGCTCCTTGTAGACAGTAAAGATCTACATAACAGCTCACTATTATTACTTTGATGCCACTCCTAGTCTTTTTTGCCATTAAGATATTCTGATCACCTGGTTACATCTGGAAGCCACTGTGCAGTCAGGCTGGGCCACTCTAGGGCATGGGTCATCACTAAGTCATAGAGAAAAGGAGTATTTTTTTTCCATATTTTATACTCTTCGTTGATCACCCGCTCTTCTACAGCATCATCAAAGGCTGCTAAAAAATAAAATAAATGGAGTTAACCTCTAGGTATAAGTACTTTGAAAAAAATTATCCATGGCACATATTTCTTTCCTCAGGCAGCTTGAGAGGGAGAGGGATATCCAGTCCCTTGTAGAGGATGTGAACCCTCCAAACTTTCCTCCTTTCCTTTTTGTGTGCAACTAGGAAGAACTCCAGGGCTCATTTCATAGGTTTTATAGCTGGAAAAAGTTTTTTTGAATACTGAATTCAGTCCCTTCCTTTTTCAGATGAGTAAACAGGAGCCAAGACAAGAAAAAAATGGGACTGAGCCAATTTAAATTGACAAACATTACTGTGTGTTTAATAGGAGGAAGGCACTAAGGATACAAAGATTAAAAAAAAAATACCCATCCTTCAGAAGCTAACATTCCTGGAAGGTAGGTGGATATAATATATATAGATAACTAAGGAGATATTCTCAAGTTAGAAAGAGTGCTAACAGCTAGGGAGATAAGGAAAAGCTTTTATCAGTTCTATTGAATGTATGGAAATGTCCAGTTTATTTGAGTTTGTTAATACATTTTTTTTAAAGGCTTCTCATAGGAAATAGGAACTAAGAGGAACCTTGTAAGAAGTCAAGAATTCTAAGTTATCCAGTTGAGGAAAGTGCATTCCAGGTACAAGCTTCTGCAAAAGCTCAGACAGATGAAATCCATAATTAGGAGAACAGTAGATAGGTAAATATGGCTCCAACATGATGCTTAAAGATGATCAACGGTGAAATACGTCTGGAAAGGTGAGGCTGGTGCTGGATTATGGAAGGATTTAAATGTCAGTGAGAAATCTGTACTTTATCCTAGCGGCAACTGGGGAGATGCTGGAGAACGTGGACAAGGTAAGATTCACAATCACACCTGTGTTTTTGGAAGATTACTTAAGAAGCTGGCATGGAGGCTAAAGGAAGAGGGTTCGTTTTAATTAAGAGTAACGACTAGAACCCGAGATCGTCAGACCCCCAAATCCCATCCCCCAGCTTTCCAAGGTAAGCCACTTGTCCAAGGTCACAAAGCCAGCGTAGCAGCGCCGTAAAGTCGCAGGGACTTGTGTTCCAATTCTGCCTTTGCTACTCGCTACCCCGGTGAACTTGGGCAAGTGCGGTGCCCTCGTGCGGCCTCAGTTTCCCCAACTAAAAAGTGGGGGATGGAATCCACGATCGCCCAGAGCTCGCTGCAGCGCACCCCTCCCCCCAGTCCCAGGTGGGGCAGCGCCGGCCCCTGGCCTCCTTCCTGGGGACGGACACGTAGACGAGGCGGTGAGGCCTGCGGGAGGATAGCAGTCCCGAGACACCGGGGAGAGCCGGAGGCCGCGGGCAGTGAGGGCTCCTCTCACATCCCTCCCTCCGTGGGTCGGGGAGGACCGACTCGGGCTGCCGGGAGGGCCCCCTCCTCCGCGCTCGGCCCCCCTCCTTCCCTCGGCTCCCCTCACCTTCCTTGTCGGCCATGGCGGGCGGAGAAGCTGACGGACTGAACGACGGGCGGAGGGACCGAGGACTCCCGGGGTCGCGGCACCGCGAAGGGGGGGTGAGGGTGAAGGGGTGGGGGATGGGGAGGGCTCGAGGGCGCTAGCTCAGCGCGCGCGGCCTCTATTGTTTCCTGCCGCCCCTGCGTGTGGCCCGAGTCGCGCACCTTCGCGCCAACGGCGGCCAATCGGAACAGGCCGAGGCGAAAGGGAGGGGGGGAAAAGGAGGAGGAGGGCGCCTCGGCGGTGGCCAATCGGAAGGCGTGTCGCCACCGCGAGCCGGCTTTGGCATCGCGGTCTGCCCCTCCCCCCACGGTTTGGCACCGCTTCTTCCTCTCCCCGCGCGGTCGGGTTGCGGAGATTAGCTAGCGCGCGCAGCCCGGCCGCCCGGGAAAACGGTTGCTGGTCACGTGAGCGGGGCGGGAGGGGGAGGGGAAAACTGGAAAACGGGGAGGCTCGAAGCTCCCTTGGGAGGCGGCCATTTTCCAGTCGGGCTCCATTAAGGTTCACCCGATGTTCTGGCTTTTACCTCCTTCGACGGGAGAGTCCCAGGACCCCTCTCCATTGAAGCGAGAGGGAACCCGGGACCCTTTAATAAGAGAAGCCCAGCTTCTTTCCTCGGAGGCGAAGGCATCCTCGCCTAGACCTACAGCGGTACAAGGGCTGGGGGACTAATTTAGACCCCACTGTCGCCAGAGTCAGCTCCTCCTACTACATGATACGGTCTAGGGTCAGCGGCCGTAGCGGAGGAGGATGGCAAGAAATGAGGCCTGGCCCTTTAAGTGCACGAGTTGCGGGGCGGGGACTTCGGGCGGAAGCTGCGCCCGTGAAGGGCGGAAGTGGAGCCTTTGGCACAGTAGTCATGGCTCAGGACGGGGAAGACGTGAGGGACTACAACCTGAATGAAGCGCAGAAGGCGATCAAGGCGAAGTACCCCCCAGCCATCCGGAAATACGAGTGTGAGTGCGCTTCCTCTCAGATTTTGGGCCCTCCTAGCGGGGGAGGCCTTCTTAGGGTGGAGAACGGGCCCTCACGAGGCGTGAGAGGGCCACAGTGGGAGTTCTCGCCCTAACACCACTGATGGACCTTGGACGCTGCCCTCTTACCGCACCCCCATTTTACGGAGGTGTAGTCTGAGGCTCAGAGAGAGCCCAAAGTCACGCCGCTAGGATTCCCAGAGCACTCACTGAAATTCAGTGCTCTTTCCCGACTGCGCACCATCAGAGCAGTCCATTATCTGCTTCTTATTACCTGTGTGACCTGTAAGTCACTTAGCCTTTCTGGTCCTCAGTTTCCTTAACTATGAAATTCTATGACCCTTTGATCCATTAGCATGGTGTATTAAATGAAACAGAATTAGGGTACTAGTCTTAGAGTCAGAAGCCTAGACTCACTGGAAAACTGTATTATCCTGGCAAATCACTTAACCTCTCTGAGCCTCAGTTTCCTTATTTGTTAAATGGTAATAATAATGCCCTATCAACCTCACAGAGTCATTGTAAGTAAATTTCAATTCTATATAATACTATATAAACAAGATATTATTGGTATCTTGGGGCCCACCTTTGCAGAGTTTTTTTTTCTTAGCTTATTCATTCAATCACTCATTTATAACATTCTTTTTTCAAGTTCCAAATTCTCTCCCTCCAGTCCCTCCTCCACTCATTGAGAAGGCAAGCCATATGATACCCATTATATGTATGAAGTCATGTAAAACATAGGTCTATATTAGCCATGTTTTACAGAGTTTCTTGTTTTTAAAGCTTGAGCTTAAATGTATGTTAAATATAAGTGTGTACACTCTATACATTTAAAGTCCTTTTAGGGGTTTTGGGGTAAGAGTCACAAGATCATAGATTTAAAGTTAGAAGGGACCTCAAAGGTCATTAGTCCAACCCCCTCATTTTACAGATGATGACATGGTCACAGAGAGGTTAAGTGACTTGCCTAAGGTCAAACTAGTATTAGACACTCAGCAGAGTTTGGAATTTGAACCCAGATCTTATAACTCCAAGTCTGTCATTCTTTCCCTTGGACCACACTGAAGTAGGAGAAGCAGCTGAGTAAATTTAAAGGCAGTCAATAAGTATTTCATTAGTGTTCATTGTAGGGGATAAAAAATGAATTCACAAATATTTGAGTGGCTACTATATACAAAGGCTTATACCAGGTATTTTCTCTTAAAAAGTTTATGGTCTGGTAGGGAATCCAGGACCAGTATACATGAAGGAATTAGAGAACGTTATAGAAATATGTTAATTGAGTGTTAAAAATTGTAGGTTGCTACAAAAGTTTAGCAAAGAGGGAGATCACTGAGCATGAATTAGGGAAGATGGCTTGGAAGAGGTGGAATGTAAGATAAGCTGGATAGATTTTGACTAGGCAGGATGAGAGACGGCATCTCATTTGAGGGAAATAATCTGATTGAAAGCAGGGAAATAGCATGGCATATTTCTATGATAACATGGAAACTAGACAGACTAGAACAAATGGTTGTGGTTTGTCGTTCATTCTCGAAGAGGACCATGACATCAAGAAGATGATAACATGACTTGCAATTGAATTTGACTTGAATGACGGAGGGCTGTGCAAAGTCACAAGTCTCACTTTCTCCTTTGGAGCCATCTGGGTCCAGTGACCAGATATTGATTGGGGTGGCTGGAGATAGCCCAGCAAATGTTTGGTACCTTTTGGGGAATCATAGGAGATAGGTAGGGAAGAGTCCTGAAAGCCAGGTAAAGAAGTTGATATAGAAAGCATGAAATAGAGCTTGTGGAATATTCAGTATTCAGTCTAGTGCAAGTCATATTCCGTGAGTTTTCTTTCTCCCAGTATTTTTAAATGGGTGAAATCTCTTTAAAGTAAACCTCCAGGGCAGTCTTGCTGAGGAGAGAGCATAAAAGTCCAATTGTTGTTGTTCAGTTGTGTCCAACTCTTTGTTTCCCCATTTGGGGTTTTCTTGGCAGAGATACTGGAGCAATTTGTTATTTTCTTCTCCAGCTCATTTTACAGATGAGGAACTGAGTCAAACAGGGTTAACTAATTTGCCCAGGGTCACACAGGTAGTAAGTGAAGCCATATTTGAACTCAATGAAGATGAGTCTTCCTGATTCCAAGCCCAGTGCTCTTATCACTTCGCCACTAAAAAGTCCAATAAATGTATACAAGCCAACAGATGTGTATGAAAGAGGAATGGGGGGAAATGTTGTCCAGTGTCTTGTCCTTTCCAACCTGATTGTATATAGATGAATATCTCAGTTATTTCTTTAGCTTTAGCTGGTTCTCTGTCAGCCAATCAATAAACATTTATTATTATTTATTATTAAAGTGTCTACTAGTGCTCGGCGCTATACTAAGCATCAGAGATACAAAGAAAGATAAAAGACAGTTCCCACACTATAGATGCTAACAATCTCATGAATGATCAAGTCCTAATGGAAAATAATGAGATTACTGCCCTGGGCTTCTCCTTAAATGATCTGGTAGGAGATCTCCAATGTCCACCCTCCACCATCTCCAATCAGAGGGAGGTAAGGGCCCCAGGAGAAAGGGGTGCTAAGGAGATGTGAATTTCAGAGTTAATATAATCTTGCAGGAGGATGAGTTTCTGGAGATCATGAAGTCAAGAGAGTAGTGGGGTGGGAAATAATGAGATGAGTGCCCTCCTTTAATGGAGGTAGTCTGGCCTGTTCTGTCTCCCACTCTTCTCATGAGAGGGCTCCTGTTCTTGAGAGGAATGATTATCCACCTTGGTTACCATTTATTTCAGGATGCCCTAAAAATCCTAGTCCTTGTTTGAGGTGCCGTTTTTGATTCAAAATAAGTTATGGTATAGAGAATTATTATACTAATCACTCACTTAAATATTATTCAGTCACTATTTCATTTCATCAATAACATTTATTGACCCCCTAAAGAATTTGGATTTTATCCTGTGGACAATAAGGAGCCGTCAAATAATTTTCTTAAAATACCATTTTTAAAAAATGATAATTTAAAAGAAAGAGGAAAATATTGGAGGCAAGAAGACTAAGTTACTATAATAATATGGATAATGATTATAACTCACATTTATATAGCTAAATGCCAGCTATTATTAAATAGCACTTTGAGGTTTTTAAAAGATGAACTAATGGAGGGACTGACTGATGACAGTGAGAATGGAAAGGAAGGAACAAATGTGAAAGATATTGTAGATTTGAACCTCCAAACAATCCAGTGACATAGAGAAGGTATCATTCCCATTTTTGAAGATAAAGAAGCTGAACCACAAAGGAATTAAATAACAACCAAAGTTACACAGGTAGTTTAATGACAGAACTGAGACTAGAAATGAAGTCTTTTAATTCCTAGTCTTACTTTTTTCAATCCCACTATGCTTTCTTCCCTAGTGTTATGAAAACAGTAGCAAAAATTATTCTTAGTCTTTCCTCTGATTGTAACTATTAAGCTGTGTTACAGATATATAAAATATTTATTTCGTTGCTACTTCAGTGTTTTGTCTTTGAACAGAACTGAAGAGTAGAAATTGTGTAGTATATCATACAGTATATGTGTATGTATGTGTGTGTATGCGTGCCACAAGTACTATGTAAAATGTAGCTTTGAATGCTTTTATGAAGATTATAAAACATTTAAGATCTGTTTTCTACTCATGAGAAATTATTCTTCTCTAGTATTCTAGCTGTCTGAAAAAGCAAAATTTAGAGAAAGCTTTCCATTTGTTTTCCATGGTTGTATTGTAATTCTTTGAATGACATTGTACCCAGAAGACATTTAGTAAAAATTTAATTTTCCTCTTTGGGGGAGAATCAGCTAGGGTACACTCTACTGTGTTTTTGTTGTTTACTAGTGACAGGAAACCACTTGGTTAGATATATTTTTCTTATTAAGAAATAGTAATTTCTTAGATATTCTCCAGATTACCGAGAAATCAGAGTTCCTGTTACTCCCTTTAGGAATTGTTAGTTATTTTAGTTACAAGTTTGACTCATTAAATCTAATGATACCAATTTTAAATTGGACCTATAATTTCATCAGTGTAGAGATCTCTGGGTAAGGAACTTCCTTTATTATTGTAGAATGGCACCTTCTCAACAATTTATAGTTTTAAACAGTTGCCTAGGGAACTGAGTTTAATGACTTGCCCCAACCTCAATATGTGTGCAGAGGCAGGAACTTAAACCCATCCAGGTCTCCTTGTTTCTGAGGCCAACTCTGTTTTACTGCGATGCCTGATACAGCTACTGAGTAGCATATAACCAGATAGGTTTAAATCTTTAAAAATAACTATGTACAGATTGATAACAGAGTATGAGATGTATAGTATTCTGTTTTCATCAGAGTTTAGCATTTTTTTAATAATCAGCTAGGTGTAATTTTTTTTATCTATGTGATCATCAAATTTAAGATCTCATTAGTATTTTTTCCTCCCCTAGATCTGGATCACACAGCTGATGTACAGTGAGTATTACTGGAATTTGAAGACATAAAGTCACTACATACATTCCTTTGAAAATCTCCATTTAAATTGAGGCTAAAAGGGAGGTTCTGTATTTGGCTACTTTCATCCTTGTTTCTCCTACCTAATTTGGTTCCTCTGGAATAAGAAAGTGGTGGTTTCAAAGCACTCGGTGTTAGTGCATTTAGTCTTTTTGTGCTTACACTGGTTTGCTCTCCCTTTTCCCTGAAGTGATTCTTTTGCAGGGGTGACTTGATCCCATCTCCATAGGTTACATGCTTGGGGAGACACATTGGAAGAAGCATTTGAGCAGTGTGCGATGGCCATGTTTGGTTATATGACAGACACAGAAACTGTGGAGCCGCTCCAGACGGTTGAGGTGGAAGCTGAAGGTAAAAATTCACTTTTGTTGTAAACAAAGGCACCTGAATTTGGCTTAAATGTAGTGACTAATTTTGGTTTCAGAGCCCAGGTGATAACATATTTCCCTCTTCTTGGCAAAGAGTGGGAGGCTGTAGGAATAGAAGAAGCACGTACTGTTAGACATGGCCACTCTTATCAGTTACGCTTGGTGATTTTTGTTTCAAGGGAGGGTTCTATGGGTTGGGGAAAGGAATGAGTATTTATTAAGCACCTACTGTGTGCCAGGCATTATGCCAAGCTCTTCACTTTGATCTTCAAAACAACTCTTTGAAGTATGTACTGTTGTGATTCCCCTTTTACAGTTGAGGAAGCTGAGGCAGATAACAGTTAAGTACTTCTTTGGGATCCTACAGCTAGGAAGTGTATGTGTCTGAGACCAGATTTGAATTCAGGTTTCACTGAATTCACTAGATATCCACTTTGCCACAAGTTGCCTTATATGCTCATTTGGAGGAGCATATTTAGAAGGACCTGTGTGGTAAAAAACCGAAAGGTTCCATTAAAACTTTTTTCCCCTATATTTTTCTTCTAGGTGTAAGTGCATCCTCCAAAGAGGGAATTGCTATAAATGTGCAACATTTCATGTTATTGAATGTGTTAGAAAATTTGATAGTATAAGCAAAAAAAAAAAAGTTAATTAGCCAAACCTGTTCTTCCTCTCACGTTATATATACAGATATATAGTTCTTGCTGATTTTTATTCAAGGTAGAAAATGTGGGGGCTCTTACAGTTGTTTTCCTATTATCCATTTATTGACTCATCAATCTGTACTAAGTATATGTGCTATGCTAGGGGTCTAGAGTGAGAAAAAGATAATTAAGACATGATTCTTTTCCCTCGTGAAATTTATAATCTAGCAAAGAAGATAACCCATATATCAGTGTGCAGTACTGTATGATGGATATACAATAGGCAAAGTGAAAAATATAAGCATAAGATGGGTACAAACTTCTTTGCTAGGACAGATCATTTCTGAATTTGAGAAACTGCAAATTTATAACCCTTTGTGGTTTGACTTTGTAGGAGATGACCTGCAGTCTCTTCTCTTTCACTTTTTGGATGAGTGGCTTTATAAATTTAGTGCTGATGAATTCTTCATACCTCGGGTAAGCAATGATTTTCTCTGTTACTGAGCAGAGGGGTTTTTTGTCCACTGCACAGAATCAGAGCTATCTCAGAAGCCATATCGTCCAACCTATACCTGAGCAAGAGAGTCCTTGCTACACCCTCACAGACATTTGTGGTCATCCAGCCTTAGTCAGAATGCCTCTAGAGAAAAAGGAACTTAACGTCTCCTGAGGCAGCCCATTTCACTTCTACAGAGGTCTTGTTAAGAAGTGCTTCTTGACATCAAGCCTAAGCCAGGCTCTGCAGTTTTCACTCATTGCTGCAGATTCTGCTGTGTAATATTTCTTTCTTTTTTTTTTTTTTGGTGAGGCAATTGGGGTTAAGTGACTTGCCCAAGGTCACACAGCTAGTACATGTCAAGTGTTTGGTCTGAAGCCGGATTTGAACTCAGGTCCTCCTGACTTCAGGATCGGTGCTCTATCCACTGTGCCACCTAGCTGCCCCCTGCTGTGTAATATTTCTTTATAACACATGATGTCATAATAACCTTTCAATACTTGATGATAGCTATCTGTTCCCTAAATCTTCTCTTCTTCAAGCTAAACGTCCCCAGTTCCTTTATCTAATCATTAGTTATGAACTCTTCAACTGGTGAAGCCCTTCACCTGGTCCTCTTTGGTGGGTACTCTCTTGCTTATTAAAAACCTTCCTAAAATATGATATCTAGAACTGAGTCTAATACTCCAGATGTGTTCTGACCAGTGCAGCAATGACTGTGACCTCCCTAATTCTGGACACTGGGCCTCTCAATGCTCCCTAAAATTACATTAGCTTTATGGCCTGCCGTGTTGCACTGTTGACTCATTTTGAGATTGCAGTCCATAGGTTATTTAAAGTTAAATTAATGGAGACCATTTATGCAAATGTGTAAAAAGGTGTTTATTTAGAGAAATTATCCTAATTTTTTACTGAAACATAATTAGTTTGCCCTAGTTGCTTAACATTTGAATCCCCTTCCCTTGAGGGAAGGGTTCTGATGACCCTGATCACTTTTTATCTAGAAATATTGGTATTGGGTAGTGCAGACAAACCTTTTATTATTACACACAAGTCTGGTTTTTCTTCTACTCTTCTTAGGAAGTGAAAGTACTATCTATTGACCAAAGAAACTTCAAATTACGCTCAATTGGGTAAGTAATAGGTTTTTTCAAACCTATTTTTATTTTGCTTGCTTTGTTCTTATAACACCTTACTTCTTCAATATATCTCTGACTTCTCCTTTACTTGGGGTGCCATCCTTTATAATAAGGAATAGAAAAGGAAGAGGAAGAAAAAAGCAGTTCAGCAAAACAAGCCAAATCTGGAGTTATAAGCAGCGTTCCATATCTGTTGAAAAGAAGGGGGGAAGTACATTCACATATCTCTTCTTTGAGGCCAAGCTTAGGTCAATCAACAAGCATTTATTAAGCACCTGCTATGTGCTAAGCAGTGGGGATACAAAGAAAGGCAATAGATAGTTCCTGTTCTCGAGTTCACTGTCTGGAGCAGGGGAGACAGTATACAAACAGGTATGTATAAACAAGCTATAGACAGGCTGAAGTAGAACTAATTGAGAGAGAGAAGGCATTAGCATTAAGGGTGGTCTGGAAAAGCTTCATGTAGCAGTAGGATTTTAACTGAGCCTTGAAATAAGCCAGAAAGTAGACATGAGGAGGAAGAGAATTCTAGGCATGATGGAGAGCCAGTGAAAATACATGGAGTGAAGAGATGGAAGGTTTCCTGAAAGAAATAGCCAGGAGGCCAGTATCACCGGATTGCAGAGAGTATGGGGGTGAGTAAGGTGTAAAAAGCCTGGAAAGGTAGGAGAGGGCAGGTTATAAAGCATGTTGAACACCAGATGGAATCTTATATTTGATCATGGCATGATGGGGAGCCACTGGAGATTACTGAATAGGGAGGTGATATGGTCAGGCTGCTTAGGAAGATGAATTTGAAAACTGAGTGAGCTGGAGGGACTGGGTCTGTGATTTTATTAGTTTGGGGAACTCCTGGGAGATGAAACTCTATCAAAACAGTTCACACTTTCTCTGCAGCTGATAGTCTTAGCAAGTACTTGTGGTACTTAGAGATGAAGGTACTTTCCCTGAGTGACCCAGGTCTTCCTGGTCCCAGGGGCAGCTCTTCATCCACAATGCCAGGTTATCTCAAGGAACCAAGTTTAATTGTTATAGTTACACAGTATAGAACCTCTCTTAAAGGATGAATCAAGAAAGTAAGTAAAGATGTCAGCATTGTATAATTTTGGAAAAGTGATAAAATAGGAACTGTGTTCAGACCTTAGTTACACATTCACCAGGCTAACCTCCTGACTGCAAGTAATTGCTAGTAGGTGTTTATTCCACTTTCACTTGAAATCGCACTAGGAAGATATGTGAGTGTTAAAACAGCATTTGTCAAGTACCTTCTATGTGCAGAACTCTGTACTACACACTATGTCTTCAGCAGTGCCTATCAGCCTGTAAAAACTATTTGACCAAAGTGCCTGAAAAACTAAGACAATGGACCTTTCAAAATAAAACAGTTCTTTTTTTTTTTTTCCTGTGTGCTTAGTTAATTGAAATTTCAGATCACTTGTATTCCTAGTATCTTATTAAGGCAACTAAGTGTCACGGTGGATAGAGCCCTGGGCCTAGAGTTGGGAAAACTTGCAGCCTCAGACACTTAGCAGTTGTGTGACTCTGACAAACCTGTCTGCCTTGTGTTAATTTCCTGATTTGTTATACCTCCTAGGGTTGTTGTTGAGAATTAAATGAAATATTTGTTAAAAGTGTTTATCATAGTACCTGGCACCTAGTAGGTACTATATAAATCCTTATTCTCTCCCCCACCCTCCACTCCTGACACATACTAGCTATGTGACCCTGAGCAACTCATTCAACCTTTCTATGCTCATTTTTCTCACCTGTATAGCACCTGCCTTATGGGGTTGTTATGAAGATCAAATAATTATGAAATAATTTAATTTCAGTGATTAAATAATATGTGTAAAGGGCTTTGCAAACCTTAAAGTACCATAAACATTTTAGCTATTATTTTATAATGTAAAAATCCTATAGAAATTCCTAAAATTGTGCAAGATTTTAACCATATCTTTATTTTTCTTAAGGTGGGGAGAAGAGTTTTCTTTGACCAAGCACCCTCAGGTATGTAAAAATTCAGTAGACTTAAAACGTTTTTTACCCAAAGTGAGAAAGGCATGATATAATTTTTCTTTGTAATATTATGTTAGAAGTTGTTTTTTGTTTGTTTTTTGTTTTGTTTTGTTTTTGCTGAGGCAGTCAGGGTTAAGTGACTTGCTGAGGGTCACACAGCTAGTGTCAAGTGTCTGGTCTGAGACCAGATTTGAACTCAAGTCCTCCTGACTCCAGTGTCAAAAGTTTTGAGTGAAGAATTTTATCTTATTAACTGTTATGAACAAGTCACATTCACATGATACCCTAGTAGACAGATTTTCCCGGAATTTACATATGACTTGCCTGGAAGTAAATGACTAATGTGTGTGAAGCATGTTGTAAATGTTAAAGCCTTGTAGAAGTGTCTGTTATTAGAAGCCACTTGGCTGAGTGAGCCAGTAAGTCAGGTGACCTTGGAGCCCCCAGGCAGTTCTGAATAAGTACATAAGCAGCAGAGCAGTTGCTAAGCTGCATGCTGGTAGAGGGAAATCACAGGTATGGACCAAAAAGATTATTGTTACATAGTTTTTATTATAATAATATGTTTTTAACCGTATGCCAAACATCATTTCCTGAGGTCAGGCCATGTGGTAGAGGGCACCAGCTCTGCAGTCAGACGACCTGGATTCAAATACTGCCTCTGATGTTTAGTACCTTTATGACTAGAGCCAAATCATTTAGCACCCCCCTCAGGTCTGGGTCTCCACATCTTTAAAATGAGGAGGTTGGACCAGGTGGTCTCAGAGGCCACTTTTAGCTCTAGTCTTACAATCCTATGCTCTTTCTGAAGGACAGGCCTAGGCTTGTGAAGGCCATAGCTGAAAGCCAGAACAGTTGGGAACCACTCCCACCAAGCTTTGTGCTCAGATGGCTACTCTGTAACTGACTGTCTCCTAATCAGCAACCATTAGATCAGTGGTAAAAGTGAAGGTCTCATGAGCAGCAGGGAGATAATAAAAAATGGAGGTGATAATAATAGCATTCATACAGCACTTTACAGCTGCAAAGTGCTTTACAAACATTAGATCATTTAACCCTCACAAGAACCCTGGGATATAGGTACTGTTATTATCCCTATTTTGCACATGAGGAGACTGAAACTGGAGGAGATTAAGTAACTTGCCCAGGGTCACACAGCTAGTAAATATCTGGATTTGAATTAAAATCTTCCTGACTCCAAGTCCAGTGCTCTATCCAGTGCACCACCTAGCTTCAAAGAGGCAGTGGAAGGAAACAAGTAGGTGAGAGAAACAGAGCAGCATGAATTTTTGGTCTTTATGCCATGTTGTTTTCAGGGTTTATGATTATATTTTACTGTCTTTTCTCCATTTAAATTTTATTTTAATTTTTCTGTCTCCAATCACCATTTTAGGGGACTGAAGTCAAGGCAATAACATATTCAGCGATGCAAGTCTATGATAAGGAGAAGCCAGAAGTTTTTGTAATTATTGACATTTAAAGCACAATGAAAGTACTTCTAAGAAGAACTGTTGTTTCTTTTTCCTTGGGGGAAAACACAGTGATTGACCTAAAAAAGGAGAGAAAGAAAAAGGACAGATATGGATAACTAGCCTTCTTACAAGAAACTGAAAATTTGGGGCACAGATGTATTCTGTCCTCTCTTCAAACTTGGAGAAAAATTCAGGTGGCACAGTATGTTTCCTCATTTATGAATTATTGGCTAACGTAGCAGGAAATTTAATCTTCCCTACCCCTACTATTGCTGTGGAAGCATACTAGCCCTATGGGCTTTTCTATATTTTCCATTTTTTGAAAACGGGTCATTGAGAAGATAGGTTTCAGTAAATTTTGCTTTTTATCCAATTTGCTAAGATAATTTTAAGTTACACATACGAAACAGCTAAATGATGGGCTGCTGTGAGGTGCTGTGTCTCTTGTACTCTATCTGGATTCATTTTTAAAGAAATGGTTATAGTTGCACTATAAAAAGACTTTTTTTCTTGAAAAATTCACTGAAACATTTTGACTCCTTCCCTTCTTCCTTTTTTTGTTTCCTTGCAAGTGACTATAAGAAATGATGGCTTCCTAATACTTTAATTTTAAAATGAACATGGGTACATTGTTAAAGACTGGAAAGGGAATATGTTTAAGTGTGTGTTTGTTTTAATTAACAGTGCAACCCTTCTCTGGTAAGGGTTCAGGTGATCAAGAACACTACACTCAAATGATAGCCTTGTTGCTTTCCTTTTCAGTGAAACTGCTTCAGTCAGATTTTTAACTTGACCTTACTCTATTGCTACAACTGCAGAAAAGATTTTATTGAAACATCTTTTGCTATTTATACACTTCTTTTTTAAAATGACCAGTGAGTAGTGCTATCACCTATTTCCGTTATCTGCCCAGATTTACCTGAAAGGAGGATTTTGGCCATGTAAAGAAGGATACCTTTATACAACAGTAGCATTGTCCTTCTGTGACTTAGCAGAAAGTGGAATTAATAATGACTGGGGCCGAGAGCCTGTTGTTTGGAAAAAACTGTGATCTACAAAAATGAGCATTCAGTCTTGTATACATAGGCTAACCAGTTAACATCAGCATGGAGCAGTGCTTGACAAAAATGATATCTTGTAAATCTAAAATGATTTGCAATTTTCCTGGTGTAAGTTTGTGTATCTTCAAGCAAAATTGTCAAAAAGAGTTTCCTTAATCTTTTTGTAATTTGTCATTTTTTAAATAAAAGATTTCTGTTGTACAACCTGAGGGCATAAAGAAAATTGAATTATTATTTCCCCCTGGGCTTTGCATTGGTCTTTGCAAATAATGTGCTTAACATTTGAATGAATGATCTTTCTGTCATTTACTTTGAGGGCATAGTCCCTCAAAACCCTGAAAACTGGGGAGGAGGGAGAGCACTGGACAGAAGATTTGAATTCCAGGCCCTGACCTGTCCTCAAGCCAGTCAGTAAATCTTTTCTGAAGCTAAGGTTTTTTCATAATTTAAACTGGATCTAAGGTCTCTTCTCACTCTTGACAATCAATCAACAAGCAATTATTAAGTACGTGCTATGTGCCAGGTACTCTTAGGTACTAGGTATACAAAGATAAAAAAAATGAAACAATCCTTGCCCTGGAGATCACGTTCTATCAGGTGACATGTAGCTCTTAAGGGTATAGAGAATCTGTGTAGTTTTGGTGGGGAAGAGCTCGCAGATGGGAGGAATCATGTAGTAGGTTGTATGACTTGAGCCAAGTTGTGAGGAACGTAGGGATTCTAGAAGGGTTGAGGGAGTGCACTCTGCGTAAAGGCACAGAGGGGCCAGATGGATGTAGAGTGTAGGATGGGTAGAACAATAGAGTTTGTGAAAGAGGGTCATGAATTTAGTAATCTTTCAAAATGGTTTGAGAAGGTCTTTGGGTGCCAGAGGAGTTTGTATCTGATACTGGAAGCAATAGGCTAAGGCCAGCTGGATGAAGGCTGTATGACTGTACAGCATAGCACTTTACATGTCATTAAAGCATGTAATTTCAAATTCTGGTGACTTAAGGGACTATCTTTTTACCAACCCCAGCAAAAGGTCCTGTCCAATAAAGGGATGCCGTATCTGCTATTCCTGCCCTGCAAGCCCTGAGCAGGAGGCCTTGTCCAGGCCTGAGGTGTCTCATGCCCAATTCACCTCCTACTTAAATTTTGTTCCTTTGGGAAGTGTCTGCCCATGCAGGTGGGGCTCTCTTGCTGGCAAACAATAAACCCTCCATTGGTTGCTAAATTTTTTAATTAGGTTTGGTTCTGGTTCTTGTTGGTTCCATCACTGACAATTTTACCCACAACTTCATTAACTTTCAGAGAATTAAGAAAGGGATTTATAGAGAAGGCATAGCAAGAACAAATAGAATAATATTCCCCACAAAATGGGGTCACATTTTGCACACACAAGGTCCCTGTGGAGGAGAGTAGCATGCAGAAGACATTGTGGTCAAGGGTAAGTACCACTCCTAGTCACTGGAATCCTTTCTCCCTTCATGGAGTCCAAAGATTAGCTAGAGTCCATAGCTGGCATTTGTCCATCATTGGACACTACCGCTCTAGTGGCCGCTGCTACTGCATCCGGTGGATTCTGCTACTCGCTTCAGTTGCCAATGGGACCACTGATAGATCTCCTGAATTCAGTCATTCCCTTAAGATCAGGAAAGAAACACAAAAGAGGAGCCGTGCACTCATGGCCAAATAAGCCAGGTGGGAGATGAGTATCTCCTTTCCCCATCCTGGTGGCATATAGCAGTGCTTGCTTCACTGGCAGACAGGAGGGAAAAGAGATCATTGGGTCACCCTTTTGGATGTCCCAGTGGAGCTCAGTTCCAATTCAGCAACTCCTGAGTCATAAGGCCTTCCGGCCCCTCAGCCAATTAGAATACATTTCTTATCTCACATTACCAGCCCCCCATGACAAAGGGCTAGAAGTAGGCCTCCTTTCATCCCCACAAGTTATCATGTAGTCATTTGGGCTGGAACCAGACAGGAAATATGTGCAAAAGCTTCAAGGATTAGGTCCTGATTGGCAAACCTTCTTCAGTACTCCCATTACACAAAGAAGCTCACAATCGGCTAAATAAGGTGCTCCACCTGGAGTATGTAGATTATATCCCAGAGAAAGAGGTCTTCTTAACTAAGGCAAAGGAAACCACAAGTCTAGAACCCGTGGTATGATATGGTGGTAATGGAGAGTTCAGTTACCCAGGTACCTGTTGGAGTTCTCTGCCAAAACCAAAGCTATTACTTTTTTCACCTGCCTTAATAATTAATTATTCCAAAGGTGGAGAAATCAACAAGTAAAAATTGTATTCAGGAGATGCTTCTCTACAAGGGTGAACTGCTTGACTGGGGAGAAATGGTGGAAATCTTGGGGAAGGGGGTTATTCCTGTACCAGCTATACACTCTTTCCTTTTTGGTCCCTGACTCTACTCCCACCATCTTCTCCACTCCTATTCACATGCTTCTGAATGTAGCTAAGGGAAATCATTAAACTATGCGTATTGGGTCCACCACAAAAATGTATGTTATCTAATATCAACTTATCCCTCACTTCAGCAAGGCAAATTTTTTTTTTTTTTTTGCTGTTATTGTTCAGTCTTATCCGACTCTTTGTGACTCTGGTTTTGAGCGGGGTTTTGTTTGTTTGTTTGTTTGTTTGCAAAGATATCAGAGTGGTTTGCCATTTTCCTTCTCCAGCTCATTTTACAGATGAGGAACTAAGGCAAACAGGGTTAAGTGACTTGCCCAGGGTCACATAGCTAGTAAGTGTCTGAGGCCAGATTTGAACTCAGGTCTTCCTGACTTTAGGCCCAGCTTTTTATCCATTGTGCCACCTAGCAAGGCATTATATTCTCTAATCCTTTAACTATCCCAAACTCCGCCTTGGACCTTTTCGTTTCTTTAGGCCACCCATGGCATCCCTCCCCACCCCGCCCCACCACCCTCACCATCTCTGCTGAAGACTTCACCTTTTCTTCACTGAAAAAAATGTGGATCACTTGCTAAGATATTCCTCTTGTCTCCTCTCCCTCATCTCCCCCGTTATCTCCTTTATTCAGATATTGGATGAAAGGATGGCCCTTTTCCTTGCCAAAGCCAATCACTCTACATGCAGCCTTGATTCCCCCCTCTCCCATGTCCTCCAGCAGTTTGCCTCCACTATCATCCTCACTCTTTTATCTTCCATTTCTTTCTATCCACTGGCTCCTTCCCTGCAGGCTACAACTACACACCTATATGCACATACACCTATGTCTTCCCATTATTAAAAAGCTCTCACTTAATCCTACCAGCTGTGCTAATGTCTCTTCCCCTCTTCTTGGCTAAAGGACTTGAGAAGGCTGTATGTACGCAGTGCCTCCACTCTTAATAACCTTCTGTAATTTGGCTCCCTATCTCATTATTGAACTGAAACTTCCCAAATTTACCGGTGATCTCTTAATTACCCAATCTAATGGCCTTTTCGCAGTTTTCACCCTTGAACTCTGCAACATTTGACACCACTGATATTTTCCTGGATATTCTATGAGATTTTGTGACAATGTTCTCTTGGTCTTCCTTCATCGTATCCAACCTCTCCTATCTCCTTTACTGGATCTTCTTCCAGGTATTTTCACCTAACTAGGTGTTTCCTAAGGTTCTGCTCTGGACTGTCTTCTCTTTTCACTCAACACTATCTCACTGGGTGTTCTCATCAACTCCTTTGGGTTCAACGATCACTTCTATGCAGATGACTCCCAGATCTACATATCCAGCCCTAATCTCTCTCCTGAGCTACAGCTATGTATCACTAACTGCCTTTTAGGCAGCTTGAACTGACCTCAAACTCAACAAGTCCAAAGCAGAACTCATCTTTTTCCCAACACCCTCCCCTCTTTTTAGCTTTTTCATTAAAGGTGAGGGCGCCACCATCTTTTCAGTCGCCTGGTTGTACAACCTCAGCATCATCCCTCCACTCCGGAATCTCACTCACTTCATACGCCCAATTCATTGCTAAATCTTTTTATTTGTACCTTCACAAAATCTCTCCAGTGCATGCTCTTCTCTTCACCCACACAACTAACACCTTAGTTCAGGTCATTATCACTGCTCTCCTGGACTATTATGAAAGCCTTCTGCCTGATATTCTTGTGTCAGATCCCTCCCCATTCCAATCCATCCTCCTTTCAGCTGCCAAGGTGATTTTTCTAAAGTGTAGGTCTGACCACGTTACACTCCTGGCTCAACGAACTTCAATCACTCCTTATGACCTCCAGGATCCAAATATAAAGTTCTCTGAAATTTGAAACTTTTCATAACCTGGACCTTTCTACCATACCAGTCTTTTTACACTGTACACTTCTCCACACATTTTACCATTTAACTACGCTGCCCTATTTGCTGTTCCTCCCTCATGACATTCCACATACAGACTGTCCTCTAGGATGGTGATTCTGCCCTTACCCTTGGCCTCTTAGCTTTCATTTCTTCATTCAACACAGCTTAAATGCCACCT